ATTCTTACATCTGAGCAGAGGAGTCTGCATAAAACTTAAATGGCTTTGAAGAGAGAGTTAACCAGGGACAGAGAGGTCGTAGGTCCTAGTCAACAATGTCATGAGGCAAAATGTCTTCAACGGCTCAGAGTGGCTTCTGAACACAGGGTCAGCAGGGAGGAGGTGCCAGGCAGTGAGTACAGTGATGACACTGGTCCCAGGGTACGCTCCCCCAGCTGGGGAAGCACTGGGCTTTTTTCTAGTTTTCCAAGCAATTCCTTACTACAGTTTTCCCTTATTTTGTCACATACCATTTCCTACAAATTAAGAAACTCAATGTCAGTCATTTGAGCCCCTTGGGGGAAGCTATACGATGCCATTCACAGAGCTGGGACATGACAGCCACACCAGTCTAGGTTTGAAGACCAGTGGGGGTGTTTCACAAGGTAATCATGGGCATGCAGCAAACACCCCAGCTTCAATGACCTCATCTCAAAGGTGGGGCCAATTAAACTACCAAGCAAAGTGCGTGATGATTATGGCCGACATGTTTACCAGGTTAAGTGCCCGTGAGAGCTGCCGCTTAATGGGGAAAGAGTATGATCATCGAGGCCCAGTCTACCTGGTCACATGCGCCCTGCCTTCCTGCCTTGGTGCAGGAGCAGAGCTTGTTTAGCTGAGATGAACAGCCCCCAGAGCAGCCCCAACAGGAAAGCTCCCAGCTCTGCACGGCGAGACGTGTTCCTTTCCTGCTCAGAGCTGATCACAGTTTGCAGTCGTCTGTTTTTGTTTATCTCTTTAGTAGCTGCCTCCCCTCCAGAGTTTTTGCTCAAGCAGCACAGGGCCAGTGTGTCTTGCTGCCTGCTGGATATTCTGGGCTGGGAGACAGCTGACCCTGCATCTGGCTCTGGTGCTGAACGGAGAGGGCAGAAGGCCCAGGGGCCCATGCTGAAACGAGGCCCCTGTACCCGAAATTATGGTCTGACTTTGGGCAAATTACACAGTCTTCTTTACCCTGAGGTTCCTCATCTGTCCATGAAAATAACTGCCCATGGCACACAGAGTTACAAGGATTAAAGGAAACCACCCAATTCACAACCTAGCCAAGGGGCTACCAGTGCGTCCTGACAGACACATGCTGCCTTTACAGCTCTGACACACGCCAAGAGGGGCGGACGCAAACAGTGAACACTGCTAAGTGCCAAACAGTGTGTCAAGTGCTTCACGTGTGTTATAATACTGTTTACAACTTACAACAAACCCAGGAAGAAGCGAGTATTATCACACCCATTTTACAGATTCACCAACAGGCTGAGGGAGGTTATATTCTAGTCCAAGGTCCTAAGGTGAGAAAATGGCAATTTAAACCTCAAGCTGGGGTGCCCAGGCCTGGGCTCCATCTCTCTCCTATCCCCCCTGACCACTTGCCTGTGAAACCCACCTGTCCAATACACAAGTTTGCAGCCGGCCAGCTCTTAAATGCAATGTGTGCCACCGTTTGTCAGTGCTGGTTAATTACCATCAACTGCTCTCTGAAACCGCTACAGAAAAGACAGGTGGACCCACATCCCTGCCCACAAAGAAGAGGAATTCTGCCTTGCCTTCCCCTGTGATGTGCAGAAACTCTTCCCTACACCACCAAATCCAAATGTATACTTCATCCGTGTTTATGTTTGCACAGGGCTTATTAAAGCACAAGATACCTGCAATAATTCCATCTCAGTTTCTTTCCAAGTTTCCAGATTAGCCCAAATCAGACCCAGAACAGACACACACTCATCAATTCCACAATGGAACACACTGGATCAAGAACCAAAAGCATGTCATAGTCCAGAAAATCTATGGGTCCCTCTTTGTTCCTCTCATTATAAAATCCCACCAGAACTCATTACTTTGCTGTCTGCTCATCTGGCAACCAAGCTCGGAGAAGAGTTAATTCAGCAGAGTGCCGTGCTGGGGAGAATACACCTGCAGCAGCACAGCGGGCTGCCTTCTCCCCCGCATGCTCTGAGGACCCCAAGTGTCCTCCGTGGAGACCAGGCCAACAGAGCTGTTCTCAGCAGCTGCAAAGTCCCACACATTAAATAAAAGCATTTTATTTTATACGATATGTTACATATATACCAATCTCTGAAAACAGCTTTGCCAGGAGCCCAAATCTTAAACATTCATCTGCAAAGGCAATTCCGGTCCCCAAGGGAAAGCAAGTCTTAAGACAATGCTAAGTTCTCCAAAGTCCTCTCCACGACTGTCAGCCGAACTGCCTGCAGGTCTGCAGCTGCAGGCGGCTACATGTCTGTTTTTAAAGCAGCCCCCGCCTGCCCTCAGATACTACAGATGTCCCTCTACGCCCTCCCATCTCAGGGCAAGAGCAGCCGCTGCAGAACCTTGCAGGGCAGCACTGACAGGACTGGACACCGAGGATCAGAACTAAACTAAGCCTTCTGATGACATGAGCTTATCATTCTGTTACTTTACAGATGAAGATATATATAGACAAAGGTGGGGTGATCTTGCTCAAGGTCACGCAGCTAATAAGTGGCAAACTCCATAACTCTGCTCCTCCCCTCCAGCGTGACACCCCAGCTGGGACGCCCACAGGGTTCTCTCGTGCCCACCTGACCAGTCCTTTCCTGTCACTCATGACCCACCACAGGGTCTGTCCCTAGCCTGCCTTTTCACCATCTTTTCCCTCCAGTTTCTCAGGAACAAGGCTGCTCGGGCCACTGTATGACTTCCGGCTCCCTGAGCCCTCCGTGCTCAGGCTGGTCTTGCCTGCGCATCCGGCCCCCTGCTAAGAGGCTCTTCCTCCCCTGCAGGAGGACGTTTCCACTCTCCGCAGGGACACCCCCTCAGGGGAGCCCTCCTCTCGCCCTCAGCACAGCAGGTGTCCCAGGCCACATCCCGAGCTGCCCCATTAGGACTGCGTGTGCCCAGGTCTGCTAATCAGACCAGCAGCCTCAGACCCAGGGATTATGCCTGGGCCACCCTGTAAACCTACTGCCCACCTCGCAGCCCCCAGCCAGCAGCTCACCAGGAAGTCACAGCAAGTGCCCCACCCAATCCAGAAGTCTGTTCACTTGCCAGCACCGCTGATGACTGGTTTCCATCCTTTGCTCAGTTTCGCACAGAACAGCAGCTTCCACTGTGAAGCGGGGGGTTTTCTTCTGCTGCCCATCCTTACTGGAAACGTCAAGGGAAACCAAAAGTCCTTTTCTCAACCCTTTCCTGATGACACCTGCCCACCCACAATAGTCATATTCTC